TGTAAAATACATCTGACATACTGTATATAAAAATAATTGTACTTATTTTTAAAAGCTAAAGTGGCTTACAAGAGCTATATATAAATCATGGGGTCAGTTAAATGTCAACAGTTCATAGAAGTGGAAAGCACTGAAATATGCAACGCTTCAATTAGCTCAGGCTCCACTGCAGTTGTCCCTCCATTAGCACGCTACACACTTCAAAACACATGCTAAACATACATGCTAACTTATCAAAATGGCAAAGAAAAATTGGTGACAGTCTGCTTTTGCCAAGAAACGAAGGTCAATAAACTCCGTGGAGAGGAACAATACAGATATGATGGATGTTTCAGGGTGTGAAATTGGAGACTAGCGCTGACCCAGATAACAGTTTGTATGCTCATCAGATCATGTCGTCTGTGTAATCTGCCACTGAGAATGCACATATGCCCAGTTCTTAGAAGGATTGTACTGGGAAGGTTAACTATACTGTAGTGCATGAATGGCATATTCACCTGTCATTGACTTTCAGCAGTGAGCAATTAGATATTTACTGAAAGACCTGGCGATATTTAAATAGTTTTCTATTTTATTTTTGCCGGGAGAATCAAAAGGATGTGAAGTTTACGTGTGCTCCCAGGAGCCTCTCACATGAAATTAATGCTTTCAGTGTTCAGGATATACTGAAAGAGCCATTATCTACTGTAATGTCAATGTGTAATGCAAAAATAAATAAATAAAAATAAAAAGGAATTCAAACTATAGCCTCACATTGCCAGAACTATATAGAACTATACAATTCCTAGAGAGCAGGAGCCCTGCAGAGTTTTGTTCCACCCCTCTCCAACACACATACCATGTAGTTTTCAAATAAGCTTGAAGGACTTGATTAGTTGGATAAGGTGTGTTTAATTAGAGTTGAATCAAAACTCTGCAGGGCTCCGGCCCTCCAGGAACTGAGTTTTAGGCCATGTCCACATTTTTATAAACAGATATATTTTTCCTTCTTCCGTTTAAAAAAAAATCTCCGTCCACATGAAAACGCAAACGCATGCTATGAAGCACTGTCAAGAGCATGCCAAACCAACAGGTGGCGATATAATCTCAACCGTAAAGCCATGTTGGCCAATCAGAAGCCTGAAAAAGTCTCCAGTAGGTGGCGATAACAGTGCAGGCGCCGACGTCACAAGCCAAAAACTCCGGTTTCGCTGTCTACACGATAACACTGCAACCGGAATTTTTGAAAATCTTCACCCTGGCAGGTGTTTTCAAAAATGTACGGTTTCAGTGAACTGGTGCTGCGTTTGCATGTGGACGAACGGCTTAACTGCGTAGAAAAAGCTGCGGTTTTAAAAATAACCGCGTTCGTGTGGACAGGGCCTGATACGCCTGATATTGAACTATATAGTATATTATATAGCTACAAATATACTAATCAAACTATAATAACAGAAATTTGATTTGCCTCATCTGATGACATGATGCCGGTTAATTGCAGAGCTGGTGCAAATATATTCACGTCGCAGATGCTTTCTTAACTGCTGTTTTCTCACTGCTGTCATTTGTTGTGTTTATTTTGTTATTGAGAGGAGAGAGGAAAGCGTGCAGCAGCAGCAAATATTTACATATTCATCTAAACACCACATGCAGCGTGGACGGCGTTGTTTTACTTGTAGCTAAGCAAAATAAGAAAGTACAACAGCTTTGCCTATAGGCCTATAGGTGTACGTTCGCTCTCTTGTACGTGACGTGCATGAGTATGATAAATAAGTTGCTGGCTGCAGTTCACGTAACGGCCAAACCGGGTCGCTAATAAGAAGGGTTTCTAAAATCTGTATAGTCCCTTTAAATAAATTCCAAGTATGACTTAAAGAATAGTTGTATAAATAGTTGTAAAAGAATGTATGCTGTGGGTGTGTGTTTTATTATATTATTTTTAATATTTTAGCTGTTTTTATATGTTTTGTTGATCATGAGTGATGCACTGATTGCACTTTATGAGTGATGCACTTGGATGGCACTTTAATTTTGTTGTACATGTTACAATGACAATAAATATTTGAATTTAATTGAATTTAATAGTTCACCCAAAAATGGAAATTTTCTAGAAATTTACTAGCAAGGCCATCCAAGATGTAAATGAATTTGTTTCTTCATTAAGACAAGTTTGAAGAATTTAGTATTAGGCTACATCACTTGCTCACCAGTGGATTCTCTACAGTGAAAGACTGCCGTCACAATGTCTAAAACAGCTGATAAAAACACAATACACAAAAGCAATGATAAAAAATCACAATAATCCCCACGTAATATACACGACTCCAGTCTATCTTGTGAAGCAAAAAGTTGCTTTGAGTCCTCTATCCATAATATTGCTTTCTCAGTGAAAAAGTCACCTGGTCTGAATCAGGAGAGAAATATGCACAGATCAAGCACCGTTCACAAGTGAAAACAGTCCAAAACAGTTCTAATAAATATGTTGATGGCTTTTGATGTGATGCTAAATGCTGAAGTTTTTCAAATCTGTTCCGTTGTAAAAACAAACTCATCTACATCTTGGACAGCCGAAGGATGAGTACATTTTCAGCAAAATTTTATTTTTAGGTGAAACTATTCCTTTAAACCAAAGCACTATTCTCTGAGACTGTTAATGGGACTGCATGATTTATTATTTTTATTTTATTAAAGTTAAAATTATACATTTCCTGACACTTTTTATGCTTACTTCTGATTATCTGCATTGACTATTTACATTGCTGCTGCTCTTTGACCTGAAATGACCTGCATATTTACAAAAATGTAACGTGCATTACCCACATGAATGCAAAACAACAGCAAAAAAGTCATATATGTGAACTTGCATGTTGTGTAATAAGTGGAATTGCATATTACAAGACTAACATATTTACTTGACTACAATACATTCCTGTTTTCTCAACTGAAGCTTCTTCCCAAAATCAATTACATTAGTTATTCCACTGTGTTTTCTGTTGCTTCATTGATTCATTATAATTCTTTCTGGTAAGGCACAGTGTGCATTGAATGATGACAAGCATTTGCTCATAATGTTTGATGTTAATTAATACTACATTTTGAAAATAAATTCAGATTTCACAGTTAACACTTGGGTTGTGTGGCCATGCACCATATCCTGAACCATATATCACCATGGCTTAAATTGGATTTGTAAAGATCACACTTTTTCGCACAACTCAAGATCAGTGTAACATGTAGGCAAAAAACAAAAAAATTTGAAAAAAATTCTCTTATGATCAACGCGTGTGTGTGTGTGTGTGTGTGTGTGTGTGTGACTTGCTGTTATATCTGACCCAATGGCAAGCAGAGGGCATACAGTATATCTGCTCAAACAAAGCCTGCTAGTCAAGCTTAGAGAGGACTGACAAATGTCCCAGGGCTCCCAACATCAGTGTCCAAATGTGGATTAACTACGGCAGGCTCGTGTCCTCCATCATGAACTGCTGAGACTGAGCGTTGACCTGTGCTTTAGCAGGAATGACTAAGGTGACCTGAAGCACCTCAAAAGCACCGCGTGCTCTGACACAGCCCTGCCATGGTAATTGACTCCTGGACTGGAGCGGACAAGTTCGTCTGTTGCTGACAAAGAATATTCTGACAAAGGAGGTGAATGACGGACATGGACCTTTGGCAAATAGAGGTTTAAAACGCTTTACTGCAAACCATCCTTGAGCAAATTGGGTTGAAACTACTGCAGATATATAGCGACATCTTGAGGTCAAACTGAGAAGTGCTGTGATGTGAGCTGCCAGCACATTTATTCCAGTGTAATCTGTATAAATATTTGGCCTATTATGTAACGATTTTGCATGTATGCATATATATTCTTATTTCGCCTATTAAAAAGGGTAAATTATGCCACCATTTAGTCACCCTCATGTAATTTCAAGCCTGTATAACCTTTTCGAAATATTTCTGGTTTTCGAAACCACGTGATTCAACCTTTACGTGTCCAGATCAAGTTTTTGTCACAATGCCTTACCCACAGCTTCTTGTTTCCAACCATACTGACATGTTTGAGTATCAACGCGGAAGCAATGAAACACAATAGGCCTAACCGACTTCTGTTGCTGTTACTGGCTTTTGAATACAAAGCCCATTTCAATTATTATTATTAGTAGTAGTAGTAGTAGTAGTATTCCAGATATGGTCCGCAGATAATTTGACTCAATGTGGTGACTAAAAAAAAATTATTTTTAATCCATAAGAAGTAGCCTACATCCAAGACACAATGGACTTCAAATTTGGAAAAATGTCTATGACTATATCATATTATATATTGTACCTTTTATATAATGTAATAAAGAAATTAATACTTTTATTCAACAATGATTAAGACGTTTAATGTCTTTGGTTACAAAATATTTATAAATGCTCTTCTTTTAATGTTCTATTCATCAAAGAATTCTGAAAAAAACTTAAAGTTTCCACAAAAATATTAACTGTTTTCAAGGTGAATAGTAATAATAAATGTTTCTTGGCACCAAATAAGAAAGAAAGAAAGAAAGACAGAAAGAATATTTTAAATCTTTTAATAGGCCTATTGATTTTGAAGGTTATGTCTATTAATTTATTCTGATTATATAGTAGTAACAATCGTTAAAAAATAAAAAAGACACAATAGGCACACTTACTCATAAATGATAGACACGAGTGTTTCAAATAGACTACACCTACAGGTCTCACCTTCTGAGAATTACAAAATCCTGCCGTGACACGTAAGAGGCGCCCGTGTTCTCAACCACACTTAACACAGAGAGAAACTTTATAGTCTTGGGGAAACATAAACCACGGCTAATCCACCATGGCACTTTAACATTCTAATTGAACGCCTGACACCATATTTTGATTTCGAAATAAAGATGTCATGTATTATTTACAAAAAGTATCGCGCCCGCAACCACTTATGTAATATACAGGAGATATACAGTAGAGGACTCGCCTTCTTCAACGAGCTGATTGGCTGGAGGACCTGTCAATCTACAGTGGCTTTCTCGCCAGCACTAGCAAACTCGGTTGCGGTATGAAGTTTCTAAAATGACACTTGGGGATATTTTTGTCAGTACGATGTAGCTGTTTTTGTCTAGAAAGGTGAGTATTATTCAGATTCAGATCAATAACTGGGAAAGTTATGAAAAAATCGTTGTTTTTTTTAACTGAGCTGATAGCATAAAATTATCTTAACGTTACGAGTGTCGGCTAAATTAATGTAACCTTTATAAGTGTTTACCGTACACATACTCAGTTTTTATTCTTAACAAATGTAAGGTATATTTTGTTGAGTTTTGCCTTATGTTTTGTCCAGTTTGGTTGTGCAGATCTTTTGAGACATTTCACGTAACGGTGTTCTGGGCTGATCCGCTGTTGTTTCAGCTACAGACAATCACTTTCCAGCTCTGATGTTTTCTGAGGTAGTAAGTCTTCACAGTGTCACCAGTAGATGTATACCAATGAACAATGATGCATAGACGGTTGCGTGTTGTTTACATTCTGCAGTATGTTTCTTACTGTAGTTACAAAGTCTATTACAATAAAGTTGATATCTACCTGCTATTAGACTGTAATCTGTTGACTGCAGATTAGGATGCTGTTTCCCTGCAAGAGTTATTCAAGCAGTGTGTTGGAGTTTTTTTTGTTTTGTTTTGTTTGTTTTTTGTAATTATGGGCACTTTTGGTCCTGTAAAAACAAAATTATTTTAAAAGACAAGTTTCACACCCTAAATCAGTTATTTATTTTGGTTATCAATTTCTAACAATGTATATTATGCAGCACAGGAGAACATGTTTTCTGACAGTCATGAACGTTCCCACAGTGTAATTTTCAATAAATCTTAAATTGTGTTTAATAGCATTTTTATTGGAAATAATAACACATTTTAAACATTGATAAAATGCAGCTCCTTTATCTTTATAAAGCTAATTTTATAGCTAGCATTTTATGTATCATAAATATACACAATTAAATAATATCTTTACATAATAAATGTAAAGATATTATTTACATATCTATATGTAAATATAGATACATATAGATCCCCCCCCCCCCCCCCCCCGCTGCGGACA